GGTGGATGGATAGGAGGGGTGCGTGGCAGACAGGTGGGAAGGGCTTCTTTCATTTCCTCCCAGATAAGCACACAGCACCAAGTTTAGAGGTACAAAGACAAATGCAGGAAATAAGAGGTAGAAGGCGCAAAGCGGTCACTTCACAGCGTCAGGACAGGGCACTGCTACTTTGGTTGCTACTTTAGCTCATGCATGCTGAACCTTAGTAACAAAATTAGTACAAAGAAGAGGCCACTTCTAGAGATGAAGTTACATAGTTTTTAAAACCAACTAGAGTGTCATGGAGCCAGCCTAGCTCATGACAACCTCAAACTCCTGTGCTTAAGTGATCCTCCTGTCTCAGCCTCCCCAACAGCTGGGACTACAGGTGCCTGCCACCACACCCAGCTAATTTTTTCCATTTTTACTAGAGCTGGGTTCTTGCTCTTACTCAGCTGGTTTTAAACTCCTGGCTTCAAGCAATCCTCCACCTCAGCTTTCCAGAATGCTAGGATTACAGGCGTGAGTCACTGCACCCAGCTAGTTATGTAGTTTTGATTTTTAAATTTTTATTATTTTTTAAATTTTAATTTAATATAATTATGTTTTGAGACAGTCTCACTGTCACCCTCAGTAGAGTGCTGCGGCATCACAGCTCATAACCTCAAACTCTTTTTTTTTTTTTTTTTTTTTTTTGAGACAGAGCCTCAAGCTGTCCCCCTGGGCAGAGTGCCGTGGCATTACAGCTCACAGCAACCCCCAACTCCTGGGCTCAAGCGAGTCTCCTGCCTCCACCTCCCAAGTAGCTGGGACCACAGGCGCCCGCCACAACGCCCGGCTATTTTTTGGTTGCAGCCGTCATTGTTGTTTGGCGGGTCCGGGCTGGGGATTCGAACCCGCCACCTTAGGTGTACGTGGCTGGCGCCTTAGCCGGTTGAGCTATAGGCGCCGAGCCATAACCTCAAACTCTTGAGCTCCAGTGATCCTCCTGCCTCAGCCTTCCCAGTAGCTGGGACTACAGGTGTCCACAATCCCTGGCTAACAGAGACTTAATATTTTTTGTAGGGATGGGGTCTCGCTCGTGCTCCGGCTGGTTTTGAACTCCTGAGCTCAAGTGATCCTCCTGCCTTGGCCTCCCAGAGTGCTAGGATTACATACAGACGTGAGCCACTGTACCTAGCCAGTTATGTAGGTTTTAATTGCACAAAATTTGTTATAGGAAGTGGTATAAGGAAACATTTGGGGGCCGTTGGGAGCAAAGTTCCCAAGACGAAGCTGTTTAAAGAAAAGGGGCTGTGCAGGAAAGTCACAAAGCGAGACGGCCAGACTCAATGGACAGATCCGGAAGGAAGGCTGCTTCCTGCAGAGAAAAGCCTCAGCATCCCCCCCACCAGGCCCTGGCCACCCAGAAGCCTGCAGGTGCAGGTGCAGTGGGTCACCACGAACCATGATCAAACTAAGAACACAGGGCACAGGTTGGCAGCCCGGCCCTGGAGCACATCCTCTCTTGGAACTTGTGCAGGAATGTGCGTTCTAATGCACCCTCCCCCCATCCTTCACCTCATGATCTTCCGCAGGCTATGCCAATGGGATGGCCACCTCCTTGGGTACATTTGCCAGCACAGAGGGGCAGAGCCATGTTCTCTGGGTCTCAACTGCATGGAAGGCTCTGGAGCCACAGCCACATGGGCCAATGTGAGCCACCCACCCACCCCTCTCCCCTTCCCCACATCAGCGGGCAATCAATTTACCAAACACACAGAAGAAAATTAATTAATTTATTTAAATTAAAATAGCAAGGCTGCCATTCACAGAGTCAGGGTTTTCATTACAATTTGGCATGTGCATAAACTCACACCATCCTTATGCTGCAACAGGACATATATATATATATATATATATATATTTTTTTTTTT